ATACCCGTATACCCAAATTGTACTATTTTCTCAATTTTCTATATACTTTACAGCTTCTGCCACCCTTGTCAGGTGTTTTCACTGGAGGTGCTCAGATCTCCTCCCTCTTTGAAAGTAAGGAATTTAGGGATATTTTTGTTGACTGTGCCCTCTAGGCAACTGACCTCATTTTCCCTTCTTCGCTGTTTCATGACACCTCACTTGGAAGTAAATCAGTTAGAATTACTTGTACAATGCCCTCTCAGAATAAATATGACTTTTATTACCAAGTATACATGCTATTGTTTTAAACAGTGACGTAATACACTGAAGCCACCTCTTCCCCAAGAGTGCCAACCAAAGTAACGCTCTTTGGCTCCAATTCCTTCTCTGTTCACACAGGCTTCACACCAGCGCAACCTCGGAGCACCGGAGGGGGATGCCCCCAAGGACAACACCTCCAGGCCACCCCACCCTTCACAGTAACTCACAAGAGGCAGACACTGCACTTTGAGCACCCTTCTCGGAGCAGCCTACATCTACACCCCAAAAACAACCCTGTGCCAGACCCTGGGATCTCCAGAGCCATCATCACAGGCAGACCCCTCCAAAGAGAGCACAAGCAGTAAGGCAGCCAGCCTGTTGTACCTGCAGTCCAATTCAGGGGAAAGGGAAAGGTATCTCTGTTTACTAGGACACACTACATGGGAAAACTCCAGCTACCAGGACTGTCAAGAGGACTGTGTGATAACACTGAGCAGAGCCAACTAGATGCACAATTGAAGAATGCCACCAGCCCAGTGCAAATCACCACTCTCTGTGGCCACAGCAGAGAATAATTCTTTGTTCAGAAACAGTGATGGGTCTACATCCATGGAAAGGACATCAGCATCACCTCAGCACTGCACCTCCAGCCAACAGCTAGGCTTTCTTCCACTGGAGGTCACCAGCAGATATCCAAAGTAACACAGTCACCCTTTGAGTAGTTTAGCCACTTCCCACAAAAAAAACCAACGCCACCACTTTTTCCCTTGTATTGCTTGTTCAACTTGACACAGCAGAAGACTTGGATTCCCAGAACTGTACAAAGGACCTGGAAAAGCCCTTGTCATTAGTTTTTCCTTAATCCCATTTAACCCTAGAGGTCATTAGGAAAACACCTGCAAGGCATCCTTTAAGGGAACCAGGGTGTACAGAGTCGCATCTATCCAGCAGTTATCCAAACGTGAGCCTGCCGCAGTGGATATGCCAGCCACCTTGCCTTTCTTCCAAACTATCAAGCCAGAGAAACAGCGGCAGGCAGCCCTTCATGTATCTAGCAGAAGGAACATGCAAGACATCTTGCTCATATCTCCTTAACAATTTCCTCAGTTTTATGGAGAGCTCACTCAGACAGATAAGGAGCCGGCAAACTCCCGCGTGCCTAGCAGCAGCAACTTGCTGATAACCCTGCAAAGCAGATGCTTCTGAGAAAGCAAAATCTGTGGCACGAGGGATCCTTGGTAATGGAAAAAGACAAAGCAATACCCTCTTCTGCTTGTAAGGGTCACAAGCCTTCTCCTTAAGAAACTAAATAGATATAGATGTCCTTTCAGTAGCCTGGCACAGCTGATTGTCTCATGACCCCTCACTGCAAGCAGTACTCTCCCACCCTTCTCAGACAGCAACCAGTTGGAAGCAGACTGGATGGCACATGGACTCATACAGCTTGAAAACCACTAAGGTGATGGTGGACTTCCTGAGGTAAAATTGCCAAGCTCCTGTTTGACAGACCACCCTGGTGAACAACTATCAGTGAGGGATACAACGTACTCTTGGATCAGGAGGAAAGCCTGGGAAACACATGCTCTGCACCTCCAGAGCTGATGAGGCCACACACAAGGCATCTTACATATCAATAAATGAATGTCCTTCTCTTGAAGATGACATGGCACTTCAGGAGTTATTTTAAGTAATTTCCTTGTTTAAAGTACCAGCAACAGCTTCTTGTGACAGTAGCAGCTTGAAATGGGACAAAGGATCATCTCTGGCTAGCTCAGAACAAGCCACAGAACCAGAGTAACAGTTAACAATAAAAATCAAAGCTTTAAAATACTACAGTTCCCTCACTATAAGCTGCATCTTATGCTTTTAGGGTATGTTGCCCTGAATGTTTTTAATTTTCCAACTTAAGTAAAAAAAAAAAAAAAAAATCTAACTTCATACTAATATTTTGACTCACATAACTTTCATCAGTCCTCAGAAGAATCTTGCTATAACTTAGACTACAGGTGAGTAAAAATTCTTAAAATCATACAGAAAATCATACAGTAATGATATAAAGAATATATTGGCATAAACATATCTTTCAATTAAAAAATGGGGAATGCATCTAAAAAAATTAAATTAAGGATAAGTACAAAACATGTTCAGCAATCCCAGAGTCCTACATAAGTAAGATAATGTCAACTTAAACAGAAACAGAGATTAGTTTCTTATGTCGACCGTGTGGTGGTATAATAGAATAACTTACTTGAATAAGTCACCTTCAAAGTTTTGCATGAAAGTGACACATGAACAGCCTTTATAATTATTGGAACAACAGTGTGTAAAATGAGAAATTGTCCAGTTACTTTTCATTTCTAGAATTACAATTTCCCAAATATTCTTAAAAATTTTTTTTTTTTTTTTTTTTACAAAGATCACATAATATTGTGGGACATCTGATGGACACTAGAAAACTTTTACAATTTTTATAGGTTTTAAGCAGTCCTACACTATCCTGAGTGTAAGAATCCCACATTATTTCAGAGATATTCATTAATAGATGATGTTGCATATCATAACAAAAAGCTTCTACCTCCCAATCCTCATTTGCAAGTTGAATAAAACAAAATGAAAGGAAAATAAACAAATCTTAAGGAAGAAGTTAATATGTATACCTAGAATATTACATGTGTGCTCAGATGGGATGAAACCATCACTCCACAGAAAGCAGAAATGAAACCCATAGAATTCCAGATCATCTATTCATATACAACCATATATACTTACATAATATATGTATTATAGAATGGAAGGAAAGAAATCCATACAGACAGAGAAGAACTTCTAGTCTTAATTAAAGGAAATCAGAATTGTAGAAAGAAATTTATAGTAGTGCAATAAAAGGGGGGTTTATATCAAAAATTGTTGCCTAGAGCAACACTGCTAGCCAGAAACTTAAGAGTGTTCCTAGCCAGCAAACTGAATTACAGCTATAGCTGTACACAAAATTACACAAGTCAGTATACATAAAGGTATTTACCAATACACCCACGTAAAAAATGTTTGCATGTACAGGCACTAAGATTATCTACAGCCTTACCTATAAGAAAGGTTGCAAATAAAATGAAGATAAAAACAAAACAGCATATGCAGATGTGACCTTGATTCTTCTTTTTAATAAGAACAGCATCTCTTACTAGTGATTTGTGCAAGATAACCTACTTGGAGAAATAACCCTTTATGCAATTGAAGCTCCCTTGGATCAAAGTTGAGTTACATTTTTATACAAAAATACCCATGTAAGAAGACTTGGAGGGTGAGAAAAAAATAGGGGTACAAAAACCTCCAGGAGATTAACATAACAGAGCACAGTACACAAGGCACCAACCTCATCCAGAATCAGCGGTTGTGCACCTGTGTCAACACTATACCACACACAGGGGAAAAAAAGAAACAGGAAACAGAAGACCAAGCCAGGTTGAACGAAAGATTTCTCAGCCTAGGCTCAAACCCACATGAATGCAGCTACACAGCTACCTGATGGGGTCATGCTGGTGCTGGGCTAAGGTCTGAGCACACTGCAGAGGAGATGTGTGTGCCCCAAGAAAGCTACCACTCCGCACAGCCCAGTAACCTGTTTCCCAGCAGGAATCCTGGCATTCATAGGGAACACTTTGAAAAGACTGTCATATAAGGTTGCTTATGCAGGGTGCTTTGTCATCCTGTCCCCTGCCCCACTTCTCGCTGGCATGGCCCTGTGCAGATGTACTGACTGACAGTCTGGCTCCAGACGCATTTTTCACTCCAGCTAACTGCTAGGTGCTAACTCTCACCTGCTAACTAACTAGATCTCACTTAGCAACTTCTTCAAAAGTATACAACAAAAACTGAATTTATACCGAAGTTGAATGTCAGAGATTAAATATATACATATATTTACAATTAAGAGAAATTATAACAACCTATACTGAGGTCTGAGTTTAGTGAAATCTATCAAATAATTCAGCAAATGGACAGTGAGTGAAAACATGTAAGCAAATGTCTCCCTTACACTCCCTAATACAGGATGATAAAACTTTCTCAAGCAATCACTTCAAAAGTTCAAGCAAGGCCCAAAATACAAAACACTGGGACACATCACACAAATTTTAATACTATACATCTTCATAGGCTGTTTTCTGATTTGAAGTACAAAGTGCCAAATACCAGCTTTTACAGCATGAAGCTCATGAAGTTTCCCATAAACTTTCATAAGCAGCTCCTACTTACTGGGAGAAAAAAAGATCATGTTTTAGTTTGTTCTCATATGTACCATTCACAGTAAGAAGTTCAAACACACACAGTCTTTTTCTTAGCTTTTACCTCAAAGGAGAACAAGTACCTTTCTCTGAAAGGAGAAGGCAGGCAGAATTTGGGTCACTGGACAGATGCTTGGAGATTTTAATTAGTACATAATGTTTTCAATTACTTACATTTGTATAATGTCTTAGGTATTTAATGTCTTAGTCTTTTTTACCCTTAAAACAGAAAATATTACTGCAATGAAAAGTTACGTTGTGTTTCCTATAGGAAATCATACGAGCTATTCTGATTATATTTCTCATTCCTGATACTGTTTTGATGTACTACCTTGGGCACTATGAAACCAAAGCGATCTCTCTGGTGCAAAGGTCAGAGCAAAGAAAGGTGTGTTTAAACAACGCACAAATCAGCAAGATTTTAAGAGCCTATCAATTGATGACCAACCATAATTTAGAAACTGCACTTTAATTTACCTCATTACAGTGTGTGGGAATCCAAGCTGGGCTTTTGTTTCTTTTGGTGAGGCAAGGGGCACAATGCCACACGCAGACAATGAGGGGAAGGCAGGGTATCCACAGGTCCGTAAGAGGAGGGCAGGTGTTCCCCCTGCACAATGTGCCTGCATCCCAAGGATCTCTTCTCACATCGCAGCCTGCCTTTTACCTGCAGGTAGAGGACCTGCACATGGCTGAGTCACTGAACGGTGCGAGACAGGACTAGAAGAGCTGGAGATGAAGCTTACGCTAGCTTTAGGGTGGCTGCTAAAGGACAAGCTGTACCTGTACTGACTAAAGACCTGTCAGTACAAAGTTAAGCCATCAAATATCCTTTTAACAAATCTGAACCAATGCAGTTAAATTATATCAGATGAGCCTCTCACAGCATGTGGCCATAGCCAGTACTAGGCCTCATAAAAATGAGTTATCTTGTCAAATTACAGCCCCATAATGATGACATTAAGCTGGCACAGATGTAGGCTGCTGCCAGAGGGTTCTGTCAAATCCCCCTTTCCTGTAGGTTTCCACCACTTCCCTCGTGCCAGCACCGTCACTCGTGCGGTCACCTGCTGAGCTAGGTGAAGAAACCAATCTGTCTGAAAACAACACTTGCAGAAACTACTGCTTTCAGTTGTTTTGTTTTTTTGGTTTGGGGTTTTTGTTTTTTTGGTTGGGGTTTTTTTTTTAATCCAGCTCAGCTCAGAAACACCAATGCCAGGGCAAGAAAAACATTAGGAAGGTGTAGGTGAGAGATGGAAGGAAACTCTACTTTCAGTGATGTTCCCCACTCTTTTCAGCCTCCACTTATCTCAGCCTAGGATGGCCATGACCTGCACCCACTGTCACTGCACATCAAAACTTCCACTGGTTCAGGACAAGCCTTAAGAGGCACTCTGAGATGAAAATGAAAAGTTTCATGAAATAGCATGGCATCTCTCTCCCAAGATAATACTTTCAAAAGAACAAGAAGATATTCTTGAAGTCTACCTGAAATACAGGCTTCTCAGGAGATAACACAGCCAAGCCACCAGATCGAGTTAGTTTAGTAGGACACGAAAGCCCACCCTCCGAATGGGTTATAACGATGGGGATGCCTATTCCCGCAATGACGACACCATTCCCACAATGATAACATCGTAAGTGTTCCCTTATCTAGCTGTGGCAAAGGCAATCAGGCTGTGAGGCTCCAGAAGCTACACTACAGAGTTGTTACATCTATCATCCTCTTAGCAATTGCCGAGAGAGAAAGCATCTTCCGCTGGCCCACGGTAACCAGGGAGGCTCTGGTCTTCAGCTGTGACTGGCCACTGAGTCACGGCTGCGTGCATGACAGCACTTAACAGGGCTTCCTTGCTGTTCAGCAGCTGAGGCTTCTGGTTACTGCTCCAAGCCCCTTGCTTTGTATCTGGGATCACAGACTCGTAACTACAGCTATAATCACGATTATTACGAGACTCCTTGGGCCACTATGAGCCTACGAGAACTTTCTGCTTTATTTGTACAGCTAAAATCTAACCTTGCACTCTCTTAAACCAGGGGCAAAGCTCCCTGTTACCTCTGGATATAGTATACTCCTGGACCTTGCTGTTGTATTTTATTAAAGGCAGAGAATTTCTGATAAGAGGCAATACTTCATCAGTGGCCTTGCGTCCCACCAGCTATTGTTCTGACAATTACATAGAAATCAGCTAAAAACAATCAACTGATTAAAAATAATAAAAATTAAACAATGTACTTTACTGAGCACATTATCACTAAACATTGAGCAAACAATTCTCACACATCCTCTTAAGGATTTTCCTGGTTTTCAAATAGGGAAGTGAAGTCAAAATATCTGACTTCCCTAAGGCAGAGTGAAAAATGTCTGGGTTGTTTAAGGACTGCTGGACAGGAAGAAGAGGTAGCTGGAGGAGCAGTAAACATAAGATTTGTACTGATACTAAATCAAGCAAAAACATGACAACTGTTCTGCGGCAGTTTGGCACTGAGTATGCATGATAAGGTATTTATTTGCTGAAGACAACATTATTCTTACTTCGTTGCTTTCTCATGTGTGGTGTATCTTCAACCATATTTCTAATGCTAAAAACATTCACATTTGCTCCTCCTCAAATATTTCACCCCAAACCATTTAAAGTCCTCCAACAATACTGTGGGCCCTGCAAAGGAAACATTCTAACACATTTTTATTGTCACCTTTTGGCCTAAGAAGCCTCCCTAGGAAAGAAGGGTGTCATAGGAAGATGACAGATAAAATCTCTGAAATTCTCATGAAAGCATTTCTAGGCTAACAGGATTGGGATGCTGTAGCACGAAGGGCAGGGAACAGAGTCATAGAACGAGGGGGAATATTGAGCAGCTTATCCTCATGGGAAGGTATGACCAGGTAAGTAACTGTTTCTTTGCACACTTTTATTTTGCTGTAATACAAGAGAGTTGGCACAAAATAATGACCAAAGAGTAACTTCAAAGCTTCAGCTTTTTTGGCAGTGCAGAGGGGTAAATTGCTTAGGTGCTCATCCCATATGCTGCTCAGGGTATCATCAAAAATATAGTTCAGAAGATGATGGCTAAAATTGTACTAATGAAATAAATCAAGTCTATTTATTTTTTTTTACACATCCAAACACTAAAAAACAAAAACTCTAATTTTTTCCCCCTATTTATTTGGCTATAAATATTTAAATTCCCTGCCTGCACATTATTATTTTGAGATCAAGACTCCAAGGCAGAGGCAGGTTCATTGCAAACCAGTGGCCCTCACAAAACAGCCCACTGGCACATTGGAAGTACTCAAAACTTACGAGTTTTGAATTTTTCTTCCCCTGGCCAAGTAGATTTACTGAGGAGTCTGGAGTGACAGTGAGCCATGCATAACAGGAATCTGCAATGCCACTCACAGCAGGAACCTTGCCATATCGCTTACTGTAATTACGGCCTCTGTTCAGCCATAGTATTCTGATTCATAGAAGAAAAAAATGAAGGTGCACACCCAGTAACTCTAGTAAAAAAGCACTAACAATAGAGGAGGATGCTGGCATTGCAAATGTTACCTAAACATGTATGAGTAGCCTTTTAAAACCTTACAGCTTTCAGCTCCACCAGTAACAGTTACAAAACAAGAGTAAAATATTGGCCATAACAATAGATTATAACACTTTTTAATTGAGTGCCAGTATCAGCAGACCAAAAATCCATTAGTCTTATTCAAAAGCAAGTTCAACAATTCTGCTCTTCAAAGAAAAAGAACTTCAAGAAACAATTAAAAAAATATTAATTTGATACCACATTTAGAGCAAACATTGGAGTTCAGATTTACGCAGCTCCTCTCACACTTCGCTCATCAGAAGTTCAGTTACATTCCAGTTTTGCATAAAGTCTACATGCTTGTAACGGCACATCTAGTAATACATTGTATTATGCTCTGTATCAGCTAGATTTGTACACAGTCAAGCAAAAAAGGGAAAGCCCGTAATTAAAATGTTCAAAAGGCCTTTATGCTTCACATTCCTTATAGCTAGACAAGCATGACATCTCATTCTCTGCATGTCATTAAAATAAAAGAGAAAGCCTACATACAGAGGGCCCTGATTTTCCTCTTTCCTGCTATGTAGCTCTACCGGTTCAGCACAGTTACTCTCATTTTATATCTGTTTAAGGGCCTGACTCAGAGTAGAACTGAATAGACTGTTTTCACTGATAGTGAAGGGCATTAAATCAAATCTACATCCATGATGTAGAATAATCTAGGTCACCTAGTGAACTGGGCTTGTTGAAATAATGTTGTTTTATCATACTGACAGGTGCTAAATGGATGTCTAAGTGCGCGAAACAGTGGCCATGTCTATGCAATGCAGACTGCGCCAAAAAAGAAGAGCTTGAGCAGACCTAGGGCTCAGAAAGGACATGCAACTCAAAGTGAGTTCCACCAGGATGCTTAGAAAAACAAGACGGCATGACTGCAGTATATACAATTGGCTGAGGTGGTAATTAGCAGCAAGGAAGTGATTTTACCTGTATAGGTGACACTCATGAGACCGACACTGCAGTACTGCATGTAATTCAGGCTGAGGGGTGAATGAGAAGCAAAGTAGCAGTGCAGGTGTAAAGAAGGATGCTGAAAAAGCTGAAGAAAACTGTCACAAAAAGGATTTTCAGACTGAAGAAACAAAGAGACTCACAGAGAATTATTTGCTCTGTCTACCAAGATAAAATTGAGCAGCAACTTGACAATAGGTAACAGGCACTAGGAGGGCTTTTTAATCGATTGGAAAGGCATAGCAAGAACCAAAGGCAGGAGCAAGATAAATTCAAAGAAGAAATATGGTGCAAACTGGGGGAAGGAGGAACCCCATGAAGCAGGAATCCAGAATCAAGGAAGCAGGAAATGTTGGTATACCACGTCTTGCTGTCAGTAGATCAAGTTACTGGGATTAATACACCAGTAACTAAGCAACACATTAACGGCCTCCAGTATACTACATATTTATACATGCATGAAGTACAGAAGACACAAAAGCAATTCTAAATAAAGCAACTTAATGCATTGTTGCCTGTCAGCTCTATCTGAAGATGTTGGTAGGCATCAGACAATAATCACTGTTCAAATTAGTAGGCAAATCCAAGGCAGGAAAGATTTTTCTAATGCATTTAGATAAAGATTGTGCTCATGTAGAATGTGTAAACTTAGCAGATAAAAAGATTGCTATGATTTTGTAAAGTCAGTCATAGCATGACAGACCTTTGCTTTGCAGAAGCGAAGCAACAAATGGAAGGTACTGTGCTGAGCCATCCATACTAGCATCACGAAAGACAGTTACAGGCGTTAGGAACAACAAATGCTGTGATGATATGGAGAACCTGAAATCTGTGCTGTACTAGCAGATTGCAAATGAAATTCCAAAAGGCTCCACCAACTTAAGTCAGTTGTGAGTAATCAGCTTGTGAGCTTGTTGCTTGTACACTGAGCATTACGTGTATCCCTCACAGTGCTTTAGTCCTTCATACTGGATTTCACTGGATTTCAATTCC